TTTTAAGGCTTTCTTGTTTATTGAGTATCAGCCAATAAACCTGTTTATGGATCTCAGACACTGTATCACAAATGAAGCCAAAACCATCTTCCTTAAACATGGATCTGTTTCTGGTTATCTTTCAGTTTTCTTCGTTGCAAAAACAGAGCAATCTCACGCCAGACACTCTGCATGATTACCAAATGGTCACTTGCTTTTCTCTTCTTGTTGAGAATTTTTATTGTTGGAAAATGGGTAAATGCATCAAGCGTGTGAGATTTGTGAATAAGACAGAAGATTTCATAAGAGTGGCAATAGTAACATCCTTGCTTCGTTTCTTTTCTTCACCAACAACAATACAAAACATCTAAACCTACGAAGAAACCACACACAACAAAAGAATACAAAAGATTGTTGTACCTTCATCTGGGAGAAAAAGTACTCTCGCTCTTAGTTAACTTTGGTATATTTTCTATCTTTACACAAGATGTGCCATTCTTGAAGCACTGCTGCCTGAAGCGCCATGTGCTCTGTTTCTTCTGCTGTCAGCTTAGAGAATGTTCCTTTTTCCTTCTCTTTTTTCTTCTTCTTCTCTTCCTTGTCCTTCCCCTCTTCTTTCTCCTTTTTCTCTTTTACATCTTCATCATCATCATCATCTTCTTCTTCTTCTTCCTCGTTTTCTGATTCCTCCTCTATCTTTGGAGTCTTCTTCGGCTGAGCTGCCTTCAACAAAGCTATCCTCTCCATAGAGATCTTCAGCTTCTCGGCTGCGGTTGCCTTCACTTCGTCCTCTGGCATGTACTCAACGCCCCCGTCAGTTAGATCATCACACCATCCCTGAAGATCCGACTCTATTTGCTTTGTGATTGATGCTTCTGATGCTCTAACCACGAACTTGCACATCATGGTGGTTGTCTCGTCACCCAGATCCATGTTCCTGCTCACTTCACTAGCCCCAAAGATCATCATACCCACAAAACCTCCATGCCATGTTTTTGCAGCGTAACACAGCTGTAGTGACATCAAGTTAGGGGTTTATCAGACCATCAATCCAGTTAAGGAACAAGAAGGGTAACAAAACCACGGTGGAACTAACGAATCACCTGAAAGCCAGCAACTGTGCGTATAATGTGGGAACAGACTCTGTGGAATGGCTTGGAGGATAATGATTTGAGTCCGCTTAAAAATGGTGAAGCACCATACTGTTGTGCGGCAGTCGCCATGAAGCCACTTCCTTCATACATATACGTGCCAGTGTACTCTGCAACAGCTGGCAAGCTAGGCCACAAACGAAAGAACTCGACTGGTGAGATTTTGTGCGGTAGAAGAAGCTCAGTCAGTGGGATCTTGTAAGGCTGACATCTTAAGATCACAGGCTCTCCGAGTTCTGCTTTTGAACCTCTCTTCTGCTTCATGATCTGTGGATCCTCTTCTATGTAGTCACCGTCATACTCTCCCCTAGCACCACGGAATGGATAGTAGAGGACTTGAACCCAGAAACCACATCTTTCAAATTGGGACACACCAACGGTGACACTGCATTGTACAGGATCCTACAAGAGAAAAGCACGGAGTCGATGATAATACAGCTAACATAACCGATTGATCTGTAAGAACAGAAACAGTTTCCAACTGACAAGACTTAAGATATTAGAGAACTGTAAAGAGATGGGAGTATATAAGTATTGAAGACTGAAATGCAACCTGTGAGACAAGATTACGCAACTGCCGCACTGCTTGAGGAGAGCCATCCATGAAGTATAGAGCACCAGATAATCCAACCCGTATATCCACACGATTCAGCTCAAGTTCTGTCAAATTAATAATCTGAAAGGTAACATAAAGTATAAGAAGGTATTGAGACGCTAAAACTTTACCAACTAAAACTGTATTCAAGTAACTGCAGGATGATACACTAGAATATATACCAACCTTCAAGTGCAAAGTGACCCTTCCATCATTTGTATCTGCTAAATGGTAAGCTTCTATATAGCAAGGATCACTGCTTCCGGTCAAAGGATATGCTGTGGGAGGAATCTTGATAGAAGTGGAGTCGACCCCTTTTGTAAGGAAGAGAGTTAATTCAGTGGGCTTTGGCCTCCAAAGCTCTAGAATGGCCTTGTGAATTAGACCTTCTAATTTTCTGTCTTGAGCAGCTGATGGTTCGTAAAACTGAACAGTAAGCTTATGGTGGCTAAACGGGTAATCTCCTCTTGTCTCACTAACTCCAGCCCACCTGGAAAATAATAAGTTGTGTGAGTTCCAATCCAGAAATGCAGTAAAACGCATATAATAAAAGGATTACAATCCAAGGAGAAAGCTCACTTTCTTTCAGGAAGATTTGAAACATATTTGATCCTCTGCAATATTAAACGGGTTTGATGTTTGCTAACTGTATCTGCAGCAGCATGGTTCCTATACTCTTCAAGCTCTTTGGTTAATAATTGGCCAGCTCTTGCATGACGTGATCCCATCCTCTGGGCACATAATAAGACTGCCTGAACATCTTGTAGCCTGTTCGATGTAGTAGCAGCGGCATCCAAGTTGAAGAGAACCTTATGTATGTTTGCTATGATAATATTCAATGGATCATCGGGGTCATCAGCTAAAAGTGGATCTAGACCTTCTAGATCAATATGTTCTGCGATTGTCCATATAAGACGCCCAAGGATTCTTGGGGTATTTACCTGCCAAATTGAGATCAATACTTTTATAAGAAACTGACCACGTTTCAGTCCACATGCAATAGTTCCTCACCATTTTAGTATTAATACGTAAGAAAGTCCTAACAAGAATTCTTCAAGGAAATAAATATATATAACAGATGAAAGTTGCCAAGTGTTACTTATAACTTTCAGCTCAGGCTTAATTACCTCTTGGAGATCCTTAACGAGTTCACGTTGCAAGTTCTGCAATCGCGTCTCATTTAATATTTGATCCTGCGAAGCACCGTCTTTAAGCCTCTTCACGCCTCCACGGGTATCATAGATATGGCAGAGCCTAACAAGCAATTTCAAATAGCAATCTATAGCGTACGTCCTGCCATCACAATCCCATTTGACACAAGGCCTACAAACTTCCACAACCTCAAGGGCTGGTTCTGTCCAGTTCAGAGCACCATAACCAGTGCCATATGCTAGTGCACCAATCACTCTGCTCTCCATACCCGAGTTTTTTTGTTCAGGCAAAGGTAGAGACAATTGGAAGCAGCTTTCCACAAGCATTGCCACCAGCTCTTCCCGAAATAAGCTTTTACTGGTAACACTATTGAGATCATCTTTAATCCTTGCATCTTCAAAGAGAGAAATAATATCTGTCCCAGGCAGAGGCTTCTGACCTCTTCGGGCACTTTCTCTGGCAAAAAGGTGAACACATAGAGCTGTCCGGCAGATACAGGCTAATGCGTGCATCCTGTCCGATTCTGCTCTCAAGTTCCTCACCATAAGCAGCAGTCTTCTAAACAAAGAAACCTTCATAACAAATCATAGGCCACAGTTTCAAGACAAATGTACACAACCAATCGATAGCTTAAATGAAGCAAAAAAAAACGACATACCTGCATATGCAGATCAAGCAGGTGCAGGTTCGTGACTACGGCCCTGACTATACTCTCTCTAGCAGAGGAAAATTCTTGGCGGTCCCAAAGTGTTAAAATTGCAATAATGGACTGTGAAGCCCACTCCGGCTTCCCTCCGGCAACATCCGCCAGGTAGAGCATGTTAATTCCCACTTCAAAAATCAAAGCTGGATCCAAAGACGAAGCCAAGAATGGCGCCAAATGGGTAACCAAATCTGAGACGCCAACCAGCTTCTCAGCGTTGGAGTCCACAACGGTGGCATTAGCTGCAGCAGCAGCGGAGGAAGCCTTGGAAAGCTGTCTTATCACTTCGACACTACCGGAAGCAACAGCTTTGACAGCAAAGACAAGAGGGAAAACAGTGGCTCTGAAGGTTTCGACAGGAAGGACTAAAGACCTAGCCATCAAAGCGCTCCTCTTTTTCCATACAATGTCAACCATGGAAGAGACCCACTTGGACCTGATGGCGAGGGAATTCTCGCTGTCAACGAGCTTGTCCCCAGCAAGACGGCTCATCCGCTTGGAGTCGAACTCCTGGAAGAGTCTGCCGACTGATTCGAAGGCAACCTTGGAGACAGCGTCGGATTTGTCGAGCATGTTCTGGCCGATCCGAGCCCACCAGTTGGAGACCTTGTCGAGGAGACCCACATTGTTCTCGCACAATGTAACGAGATCATCACGCGCGAGGATGCAGCCAAGTGTCTCGGTAATGGAAAAACGAAGGTTGTCAGATGGAGAATCGAAGCAGGAAGCAATCTCAGAGCTGCAATCGGAGATGAGTTTAGGAAGCGAGAAGGAAGGAAGAGCAGCGAGGATGGAGACGGCAGCGGCGGTGACATCCGGGTCCGGGAAATGAAGATCCGTTTTGACACCTGAGCAAACGGTGTCCCAAAGATCCGGAGTGAGGCGGGTGGATCGGATGAGATCGAATGCGAGCTTCTTACAAACAGCTGAGGCCGGAGAGGCAACAATCTCCTCCACAGCAGACTTAGCGATCACAGAGATATCTCTCCCGGCGGCGGATTGCTGCAGCGCCTGAAGAAGCGCGGATGACTGGCGAAGCGCGTCATTAGAACGGAGGTCCGCCTGGATCTGAGCGAAAAGAATGTCCATAACTGAAATTCGAGATCCAAGGCTCGGAATCTGAGCTAGCTAGCTTTGCTGTCAATCTGTGTACGGATGCGACATGGAACTGGAACAAAGAACTGGATCATCAAATCATCATCATCAACTGAAGAAGAAGAAATGGTTTTCGAAGGAAAAAACAGCGTGGCGTTCCTGCGATTGGAGCTTTCACAGCGTGCCGTGTTGAGTTATCCCTAGACCCAATAAAGGCCCATTACAAATTTAATAGGGCTTTACATTATAAGCCCAGGATACTTTCCGAAATATTTGCATTCGATTTAAATGGACGGTCCAGATTGAGTCCAGCGCGGTAGCAAAACGGCGTTAGGCGCAGCAGCATTCGTTAGAGAAGAGAGGGTAGAGAGAGAAAAGCGATTTTGTTCTCTCTCTACTTCTCGGTCGTCTCCACTCTAGGGTTTTACTCTTTCTTCTTCTTCTTCTACAGCAATCTCTATCGTTCTTCTTCTGTCTCTGCTCCAGAAGATTTACGCTTCTGCCTCTATTCTCTTGCTTCCGCTTCGGTTCGATCGCTTGCTCAGTATTTCGAGTCGGTTAGTTCCGAATTCCTTTCTCTATGCATATTGAGTGTTTGTTTACTGCCCTAAGAATTGAATTGCTTTCAGGTTTTCATAGTTAGGGTTTTCAGGTTTTGCTTTCTCTAAAAAGTTTTCGCACTTGGGTGGTCGATATGACTGTGAGGAACGGTGGTTTCCCAGGAGATTACTATCGTACCAGCTTTGACACTCCTGGCGGCTGTGATGATAGCCCTAATACTTCCGAGGATGAAACTTTTGGTGTCCCGAGAATGGTTTTACCCTTGTCTGACTTGTCATCATCGGAAAGGAAAAAGCTGATTCATACGCTTCGTCAGGAGCTGGAACAAATACGCTCCTTTCAGAAGAGTCTTGTGGACCTTCCTATGTCTAACATTGTTACACCTGTGAGTAATAATATGTCTCGACCCAAGAGTTTTAGAATGGCACGATGCTCTACTGGCCCTGGAAAAAGGGTGCTCCCCTTTTCAGCAACCAAACCAGAGCCAGTCACCACTTCTACAATGCTTCGGATGAAGCAATGTGAGACCCTCCTCAAACGATTGATGTCCCAACAGCATTGTTGGCTCTTTAATACCCCTGTTGATATGGTCAAGCTCAACATTCCTGATTATTTCACTATTATCAAACATCCTATGGATTTAGGAACTGTAAAGAGCAAGTTAACTTCCGGCACCTATTCAAGCCCATCAGAGTTTTCTGCTGATGTCCGTCTTACTTTCCGCAATGCAATGACATATAACCCGTCAGATAATAATGTTTATCGTTTCGCTGATACACTCAGCAAGTTTTTTGAAGTGAGGTGGAAAACTTTTAATAAGAAGTCATCTGGAACCAAATCTGAACCAAGTAACTTGGGTACTCTTGCTCGCAAAGATATTGCAATGCCTGAGCCTCTGGCTAAGAAGAGAAAGATGAATGCTGTCAACCATGACAGCCTCTTAGAGCCTGCTAAACGGGTTATGACAGATGAGGATAGAGTTAAGCTTGGCAGAGATTTGGGGTCCTTGACAGAATTCCCGGTACAGATAATCAATTTCCTGAGAGATCACAGCTCTAAGGAAGGGAGATCTGGCGATGATGAGATAGAGATTGACATTAATGATCTCAGTCATGATGCCTTGTTCCAGTTGCGGGATCTCTTTGATGAGTTTTTGCGAGAAAATCAGAGGAAAGATATAAACGGTGAACCCTGTGAGTTAGAGGTAATCCCCTCCTTCTATATCTCATACTTGATCCATTTGTTAACATGACTGACAAACAGCGGAAACTTTCCTTGATGTAGCTTTTAGATGGGTCAGGGCCAGGAAATTCATTGACGCAACACTGTGGTGGTTAGCATACATTGGTTTTGTTGTTTGAGCAAATTCTCTTGGCTCTATGATAAGCTGTCATTTCTTCCTTGTTACTTGCAGGGAGTGAAATGGAGGACGAGGATGTTGACATTGGTAATTATGAGCACCCTAGATCTCACATCCCTTCTGTCAGGACTGAAAAAGGTATGGCGTTAGAGAACTCCAGTGGTTTGTTTAATCTTGTTACATTATATTAGTCTTTTTCTCTATAGAGCTTTTGCAGATGTTTGATTGTTGCAGTTCTTATATGTAATTCCCTCTTGTCAGAAGTGGCCGTCCATCTAGAATACTCAATGTTTACTGTATTTTTTTTGGAGTGGAACTTACTGTCTTATTCAAATGACCTTGCTGATAGCAACTCATATTACACACCTAGTTTGATAGTGGTAGACCTGTTACATTTTCTGCTTGTTTTACTCCCAGGTCGCTGTTTGCTATTTTCTTTAGTGATCATATTATCTCTAATCCGTGATTACTCCTCTTTTGGTGCATGTAACTAATTAGGCTCTCGTAGCTCGGAGAGTGTACCAGATGATCCTAAAACCACAAGATTATTGAGTTCATCGAAGGTAAACATCATTGTTGGATCATAATTGATAATATTTATGCCTCTGCAAAGGTCTTAGATACCTTGCCACAATTTGGATATGGGCAAGCGATTTGGGTGGAACCAGAACAACAGTAAAGAAATTATTGTCTTGGTTATGATACAAAGCCTGATACATTTTTAGTACCTCACAGATGGCTTAGCCAGTCTTAATTGTGGTCATGCACTATTGATTCTGACTGTTGTTTCTTTTTTCCTCTGATCCGTTGATACAGGTGCCTGAAAGCATGGATTCGGAATCTCCCTTGGATGGAGCTACAAGCAGTTCCCCAAGGAGAAAACGTGAGCGGAATTTAATTTTGGTGCAAAAGATAAGTTTTGTTGATTTTAATTTTTGACCCTTGGTTTTCTTACGCCCTTTCTAAAAGCAGATTCCGTCAGCGGATTAAATCAGCTGGAAGATGCATCCAAAGGGAGTCTAATTGAGGGGGCAGATGGTCATCTAGATGGTAAGCTCAGGAGTGTAGCAGAAAAATGTCTGTGCTCTAATATCTGGGGGTGGCATCTCACTCTTGACCCATTAATAATTTAGGAAATAGTGCTCCAAATGAGAAGCAACTACCTCCAGAAAAGCGTTACAGGGCTGCTCTATTGAAAGATCGGTTTGCGGATATAATCTTGAAGGCTAAAGAGATAACTCTTAATCAGGTTAGCTGTGTTTGTGGAGCTGTGAGCTGTTATATCTGGTTAGCCTTCCCTCGACTTTCAAATTAATTTCCTGAAAAAAATTGTATGTGTGAGATCAGAATGAGAAACGCGACCCAGAGAAACTGCGACGTGAGAAGGAAGAAATCGAATTGCAAAAGAAGAAAGGTATTCTTGATTTGCTAGTTCTAATTTTGTGATTGATTATATAGCAAGTAGTATATATACGTACATAAACTTGTCCCATTATTGTTTTTTGCACCAGAAAAAGCACGGTTACAAGCAGAAGCCAAGGAAGCTGAAGAAGCTCGTAGAAAAGCTGAGGCACAAGCTGCAGTTGAAGCTGCGGCTGAGGCTAAGAGGAAACTGGAACTTGAAAGAAAAGCAGCACGGCAGGCATTGCTTGAGGTAAATCAAAATAGCTGCATAGTATCAGTTTGGTTTTATTTACTGCAGTAAATATTGATTGTTGCCATGGCTGAATGGTACACCAGATGGAGAAGTCGGTTGAAATAAATGAGAACACAAGGTTTCTCAAGGACCTAGAACTGCTTAAAACGGTTAAAACGGACCAGTTAAGAAATCTAAGAGATGTTGGCTCTGACTCTGATGGGTTGGAAGTTTTTGGGTTTGGAGGAAGCAATCCACTAGAGCAGCTGGGGCTATTTATGAAACATGATGAGGATGAAGATGAAGCCGACCTGCTTGCGTTTCCAGATCCCGGCAACGAAGTAGAAGAGGGTGAAATCGACTGAGATTCATGAGTGTGTTGTGTCTTGGGTAATAGCAGTCGAATGTACATGAATCAGAGAGTTTTTGTAAAAAATAATACTTAGATTGATATTTAACCAATGCGATGGCTTTTTATCCGAGTAAACAAACACTAGCACTTTATCTCGTGAGTCTAAATTTTGGTTAACTCAATAAACCAATGACAGCACCGAGAGAGAGAGGGAGCATGTCTCAGAGTTGTTTCTATAGATTTACGCTCAAGTTGGTACAGAGCCTCTTGTACATGTGAAATTGTTGCATCCAACCAATTTATGTTACCTACAAGGAAATCGTGTTGCAATCAGTGTTTAGGTAATTTGCATTTGGAGTTAGGTAGAGTGCCCTTTTGAATATGATAGATTAGTTTGGCCAGTCCCCCAATAGGTGCTATGATCATCAGCACAAGCCCAAGAATGATGCAAAACTGCAAAGAAAAAAAAAAGATTTAGCTTAGCTGTATTAGCTGCTATATTGTCATATTTAGCTTTTGACCGCAGGGAGGACTACAACTTACCCAGTTTATACACCATGACAGACTAAATCTCTTTGGTTTCTTTAGGATCAGCCACATGATGCATGGGATCTGAAAGATAACATCATTATGTTTTGTTTATTTGAGCTTTTCTTACATCAACAGCAGTTTAGGAGCATTATTCCGCTTACAAAGTATGTGGTCGGGGCGAACACAAATCCCCCAAAAAATGACAGCAACGCGCTGTAATAAGGTAAACCGACCGCTATTCCCATTGTGGCGGCTGCCAGATAGAGGTAAGTTAATCAATCATCAATGCTACTCCTCTGAAAAAAGAATGTGAATTTAGTTTCTTGGTGTGCAAATCACAGAGACTTACCCACAAAAGTCCATCGGATGGTAAAGCGTAGAACTCTTGTTGGACTGAAGTGCCATTTCTTTATCATTACAGATTCGATCATGTCAAAGACGGGCATTGCGTACACCTAGGAGGACAAGCAGAGTTAAGGAAGTAGGAGTTTTTCTCTACTGATGAGGGCGTTTTCTGGTGTACCTGGTAGCTTCCCAAGAGGTGTATGACCACAAACATGTTGGCCACAATGACAAGTGCCTTTGGTTTTGTAAGTGATTCGAGGATGTTTTCTTCAACATTGTTTCCAAAAGTCTGGAACCCTACAAGTGCCACAGGGAAGTAGCAGAAAGCTACAATGATATAGGCTACAACGGCTCCCTTCCACATGGGTCGTTTTGATGGATTTTCTGGTGTTGATGGGATCGTTGCTTGAATTTCTAAAACAACGTTATGACCTGCGTACGCAAAAGCCATCTCCCCTAGTGCACTTAAGAAGTCTAACGGCACGGAGGTTGTTCTTTTTTTATAGCCGTACTCCACACTCCCCGTGGTGGCACCCTTCCTCAGCGAGGCTACCCAAGCAATTGTGGAATAGCTGTGCATCGGAAACAAACATTTGAGAATTTTCTTCTCTTCCTCTTCTTCTTCATGTTATATGTTATGTTTTCTTTCACAAGATAAAAAAAAAAAAAAAAAGCAAAAGCAAAAGGAGTTACCTGACAGACATGACAGCAGCTACCAAGGAGACACCAGAAATGGAGTTGAAGTTCTTAAGAAGGGAGAGCACGAACTGGGAAGAGGCAAAGATCATAATGAAGTGTTGAATTCTTATCTTTGTGCACTTGTCATCTCCCACGGCAAGGTCATGTACATTCTTCAGGGATTTACCTCCAGTCACCATATAGACTATGCACACACTGATTTCAACTAGTAGTTGTAGCGGCACGATGATGTACAAACCAAGTTTTTTACCAAAGGCTGCCTGGCCCAGCTCATGGTACCTATCGAACCGTCGCCCCTCAAACATCTCGTGCATCTCAATCATTTGCCAGAGGGTGTATAACGTGATCACCCATGACAGGATCAACACCACAACCCCAGGTCCCCTGAACAACATCATTGGTAAAGTCTATATATACATCTTCAAAATGAATTGGTGTAGAAATGTATTTGAAGTTTCAGTTGGAAGATACCATCCAAGCTCTGACATGGCGTAAGGAAGACCGAGAACGCCAGCACCAACAATGGCAGTGACGTTGTGGAAAGCTGAATAATACCAATTGGCATTTCGTGATGCGGTGATTGGAAGCCAATCTTCCAGATCAAAGGATTGGTCCTGTAAGTAAGATCAGAATTCCAAATTTATCATCTTACAACACATAATTAAAGCATCAAAAGAGGAACCAAACTCTTTCAAGAACAAAGTTTTTCAATGTAACAAAGTCATGATGATTGTGATGAAAAGCATATATATATATACCTCCACAAAATGTTGATCTGGGATTCCCTTCATTGCAAACTTAGGAATGTTGTGACTTGTGAGGCAATCTTTCTACTTCTTTTTTTCCTTCTGTGGTTCCAAAAGTTGCGAGCAAGATGAAAGTTGACCTTGACCTCACTGAGGTTTATTAGCTGTGCATATGATGATATGTTCCTCTGATATTTGTTTTGATTGAAATTACCTGGAAATTTTGTGGTGTTGTTCAATTCGTATTAAAAATGGTCGTTGATTGGGATACAATGACGACCCCCATTGGTTACGCTATTGTATATTGCTTTTATGTCACTATTCGACAATTTCTGTAATTCTTATTATATTTATATTCTGGGATTCTTGGACCCTTTTTCTTTTTCTTTTTTTTGGGGTCATTTTTGCAGTTTGTGTTTCGGTCAATGAGATAGATGCAGGAATTCTATCAATGTATAAGAAGAACACATTTCTTTAAGTCAATGATAGGAAGATTAATCAAAGTATGATTGATAGTTTTAGTGGCTGTGAGATCCGTGACTAAGTCAGCTAGTGGGTGCCACCCTGACAAAATTTTAAAAATTCGAATTAAAAACTTGAATACTAAAATCTACATAACGATACAAAAATAAATTGAATTTAGAGAAATTGTTAAAAATGCCCCTTTTTCAATACCCCTTTTCAAAAATGCCTCCTTTGAGAGTCCATTTTTAAGTTTGCCTTCTTTTAATTTTTAATGACCATTTTACCCTTATTTGAAACAAAATTAGGTCCACAAAATACAAAATATTTTTTGGCAGGAAAAGTGATCTCCCAATTTTCCCGCCAAAACACTTGTAAAAAACCTTTAAAATACCTTGTAAAATTTTCCCGTAAAAATTTTTCCCGCCAATAAATTTTTTTTGCGGGAAAAGTGATTCCGCAATTTTTTTGGCGAAATTTTTTTGGCGGAAAAAATTTACAAGGTATTTTAAAGGTTTTACGAAGTATTTACAAGTGTTTTGTAAGGTTTTACAATGTATTTTAAAAGGTTTTACAAGGTACTTATAAGTTTTATAAGGAATTTATAACTTGTAAAAAACTTGTAAAACCTTATAAAAAACTTGTAAAATCTTATAACTTGTAAAACCTTATAAAATAGCTTGTAAAATCTTATAATATCTTATAAATACCTTATAAATACGTTGTAAAACCTTTTAAAATACATTGTAAAACCTTATAAATACCTTGTAAAAAACCTTTAAAATACCTTGTAAATTTTTCCCGCCAAAAAAATTACGGAATCACTTTTCCCGCAAAAAAAATTTTTTGGCGGGAAAAAATTTTACGGGAAAAATTTACAAGGTATTTTAAAGGTTTTTTACAAGTGTTTTGGCGGGAAAAATTGAGGGATCACTTTTCCCGCCAAAAAATATTTTGTATTTTGTGGACCTAATTTTGTTATATTTCCTTATATATTTGTGATATCTTTTATTAAAAAAATGGTAATTTAGTCATTTTGTACATAAAAAGGGGTATTTTTAAAAATGGACAGCCAAAGGGAGCATTTTTGAAAAGGGGTATTGAAAAAGGAGCATTTTTGTGAGTCTCCCTTGAATTTATGGGACTAAAATCCGGTTAGTTTTAGTATCATATTGCAAATTTATTATCCAAGTTTTAAAAAAGCCAAAAAAAAAAAAAAAAACAAAAATTAAGTTATCGTATAAGTTTTTGAAAATCTGCTAAATCTTTTGAATTGAAAAAAATTAAAGATGGGGTAGAAAATGACCTTTCTTATGGGCTGAAAATGATTTTTCTTCTGTTGGGCTTTGTTGTGCAAAAGGGCCTTGATGATGTCATCAATCCAACGCCACCAGCTCTCTGTATCACCAGAAACGCAAAAGCCACCTCCTCAATCTTCGCCGGATAGAAGCTCCAACATCATGACTCCGAAGCCTGAAATTCCGACGACATGTAGTCAGTCTCTAACTTGTTCGAAGAAGAGTCAACATCATCATCCATCGCTCGTCTCTTGTTTGGTTTGGTTGGTCGCAAATTGGGCATGAAATTGCATCTTTCTCATTCTATAAATCTCTCTGTGTTTCTCTGATGGTACTAATAGACAGAGCGAAGAGAGGATGCGCGACATGTATATAGACTCTGTTGTTTCTCTTTCTTTTTTTTAATCTTTTGGAACCAGCACCTGAAGCAAAAGGTTGATAAAGACAATTCCTCTAAAGGTTGATAGTTCTGTTCAGGATATTGAGTCTATGAAGGTTGTGTCATGAGGCTGCACAAGCTTCTTCCTCTTTTAAGGATATCTGATTTGTTAGAAGAGATGAAATTGTTGTCTGAAATAGAGGTGGGCTATGGATGAAGAGAGACATAACCTTAAGCAGAAAAAAGTCGGATGTACAAGGTCTTGAGAAGAAGATTGAGGAGAAGGAGAAGAAAGAGAGCAAGCACATCAGAAATATTGATAAGAAGATGACTGGGAAAACTTGTAGTTTTCAGTATCATGATATTAGCGTTGTTGACCTATTCAGATCCACCGGATTATCTTCTCACACAGCCGTGCTCAAAGGTTTGCTATGGAACTACAAGTCCGAATCAGAATCCGAGAATCTAAAATCGAAAATGGCGAGTCCCAGATCGGAAAACAGAGTATTGTCGAGCATGATTCTGAATTTCTGATTATGGTCAAGAATAACTGTTCTTTCATGTGGAAACAATGTTGCTTGTGGATCAAGAAGCATAAGAAGTTGCAGTGGGTGGGAAAATAATTCAAGCAACAAGTCCAATAATATTAAAATGAATCCGAAGGAATCTGATTCAGAGATGATTAACAACAAAGACATTCTTAGAGCTCTTCAGCAATCCGGATTATCCTTTATTAAGATTCAGATTCCATTATTTCAAAAGAGACCTTAATCATATTATTTAGGACACTGTCCAATTTTAACTACTTAGTACATTAGAAGATGAAACCGAACCGAACCTTATACTATTTCTTTCGGTTCTCTCACTTCTCAATCCGGTTTTTGTTGTACACCCAATAACCGAGTTTATACCAAGACCGTAGCCGGCGTCTTCACTGACAAACAGGGCCGGCCCATGGCTAAAGCCCATGAAGCAAGGGCTTTAGGCATCAAATAATTATAAATAATTATAAGTAGATTTAAGGGCATTAATTTTTAAAATGTTACTGTAATCTAGTGGTTAGTTTGAAGTCTTTTGTTATACAGGTCATGGTTTCGAATCCCAAACATGTTAAAATTTGTATTTTTTTTTTATAACAGTTTTTCTTAATGGACCAAATTTTTTTTTGCTTTAGGCACTCAAATAGTTTGGGCCGGCCATGCTGACAAAGCTGAAGCACCAAAGCAGAAGTAATGGCTCTTCAATCTCCTCCTTACCGAACCCTGCTTCTCTGTTAACTTACTTTTCACTGGCTCTGTAACCGCTGGCTGGTTCAAGCCAGACGGTCCGGCTATGCTCGTATCCATCAACACTCCCTTCTGTTTAAGATCAACCATGCTCGAAGTCGAAGAAGTGGAAGAAGAGTGGATGGATATTTTCGAGAATGAGCTCGAACGTGACCGCACCGACCCAAACCGTTTCTTCTTGGCTCTTGGACTAGACTGGTTGCTTCTTACCGCTAACGTTCTTTTATTGTTATTAGGCAGATCAAGGGACGAAGTGCTGCTTTTTGAGAATCTCTGACGGAGAGGGACAGGAGTTTCTTGCGTCTCAAGTGTTGTCGAAATGATGCTAATCTCAGAATTGTTCTTGGAATGGCCAGGTTGTTTCTTGACTCGCGGCCAGTGGAAAACGCTCTTCAATCTCTCTGTTGTAGAGTTAACAGAAGCGTTTCTACATTTCCTGAGATGATGATTCTCATCCATCACGTTTAGATGACCAATCTCAATGGAACAGGAGCTGGATCTCACGTGTCTAGGGATCAAAACAGCAGTCTTGTCAGGCGCAACTCCAAGTCTGGTGCTTAGGAACATCTCAGCGTCCGATGTCTTGAAACGAGCTCCTGGGCTGTAAAAGTTTCCTCTGTCCTTCAAGTGAGACGCGACCACACTTGTGATGCTTTGATCACGACAACTGAACATCCCTCCGGCTGATACCAGCCGTCGGAATAGGAGATCAGACGTTGGAGACAGTGGCTTCTGCCTGATCAGATCAAGCGGAGTCATACCAGCGTTGTCGCGTATGTTAATATCAATCGATTTCACAGACATAAGCATCTCAACGAACTCCAGAGGAACATTCCCTGAGATGGCCAAGTGAAGAGCCGTGCGTCCCTCGTTGTTCCTATAATTCACAAAATCGCCTTGGGACCTCGAGGCAGCGGAAGTGATCAGCCGATTCATGAGCTCAGTGTGCTTGTCAAGCCTCTCGAACGCCGGAGTCTGGAAACCGGAGATTCCAGCGTGAAGGAAAGTGTCTCCGGCGTTGTTTCTGGCGGAGATCAAAGATGGAGAAGCCGAGATCAGAACGTCCACAAGATCAGCGTGGCCACGGTAAGCTGCCACGTGCAAAGCCGTGTTCCCTTGGTTGTCCACAGCGTCGACTAAACCGTATGAAGCCACAAGCTCTCTAACCACCTGCATCATAATCACCAAGATCCAAAATTTTGTTTTACCTATCGATTGATAATTTAGTTGAAAAGGAGTTATAGCTGTGGCCGGAGACAGTTACCTGAGTTTTTCCTTTTCCGGCGGCTGCGTGGAGGATTGTGGAGCCCTGTTTGTCTCGGAAGGCCAAGACATGTTCAACAGAGCAATCAGAGAGAAGTTCTTTGAGAAGGATCATATTGCCTCCTCTAGAAGCAGAGTGCACCGCTCTGTTCTTCATCTCCCATTTGTAAGCCGCCGGAATCTCTCCGGTTTGCTGCTCGATGCCACCGGTTCCGAACCTCGGACTAACCGCAAAATCATAAATGACACGGAAAACGTCGTCGTTTCTGCTCCTCGCAGCTGCGTAGAGTATATCAGTGACGCCGTACTCTCCTTCGCCGAACACGAGCAGAGGATATCTCTCCAGGAGATCGTGAACAAACGCTAGATCGCCGGCGGAGGCTGCCGTGTACATCAGCCAGCCACCGTAGCCAGACCGGATAAGGGTGTTCCTCCTGGATCCCGGCGAGCCGCCTTCGTCGCAGGCGGCGAGAAGTTTTCTGGCGACGCGTGATCTGCAGGCGGCGACGTCGTGGAACTGGGATTCATCGTCCCAGACAGTCTCGAGGCGGCGAATTCTGCGGAGGGAAGTGAGTTTCATGAGGTTATTGGAGTCGATTCGGAGAAGTTCACGGACTAAATCGTACTGGCTGTTGGCAGCAGCATAATCAATGGGAGTAGCGTACCACCACTGATCGCCGGTGCTCTCCCAACGGAGAGGAAAGTAGGTCGGAGGCATAGAAATTGTGTTGTGGAAAACTGAAAAAGAGTTGCAGAAGAAAAGATAGGGGACAAAGCGATTTCTTGGTGATCAAGGAACAAGCCCTCCCTCCTCCTCTATAATAATACTACAGAGGGAACAAGAAAAAGGGTCACCGGAGAAAATGAAGAAGAAGAATATCTGTGGAAACTAAATAAATTAGCAGAGGCACTTGTGTCTATTTAATCAGACTAAACAAAACTCCCCAAGTTAGTATATGTAACCGAACTTGGAAAATCTGGTGACTTCATTACACGAATTAAATACCAAATTTCAAGGAATAATTTTTTTAAGAAAAATCTTAGATCTTTTTATTCGAATGAATGTTTAACTAACATTAGGGTGAAAAAAATGCTTTTAAAATATACAGAATAATAACTGTAAGGAAAAATTGATTTAAACAAATGTGGAAGAGATAATGGTGGGAAATGCCTAATTCCTTCTCTATAAAGTGAAAAGGAGGTGATTGTTTGTAATGATGGAGACACATGGAGAAAAGTGGCCTTTTTCAGCCATAGGGAATAAATGTATATCAAGAACTTGTTTAGTATTATTAGAGATGGTATCAAAAGTTGAACTACTTTTTTTCGAGGTAATCGAATTGAGTGTTGGTGGATTATCCAAAGCAATTCGTATCATCAAGTCTTTTAATTGGATATCGAAGAATTTTTTAGGAGGGGTTATTGGTTCATGGATTTATAAAGAATTAGAAATCCAAACAAAAATCATTTGTTATTCAATCATTGAATTTAAAATCTTAATTAAAATCATGTGTTATTGGTTCTATGATTTATAAATACTAATTAAAATCCTATGTTATTCGTTTAGTCATTTGTTTTTGGATTTGAGAATCCAAATTATGTTTTAAATGGATTTGAATGGAATTAAAAGAGAAAAATAGAAGGATTCAAATCCATGGGTAAACACATGTTATTTCAAAATCCATATATCTTGATTTCATAATTAATAGAGATTTTCAAATTCTATATGGATTTACAAATTAATAAACCAATAACACCCCCTTAATATGACATGTTTTGAGATTATAAATCCAAAAGTTCGTTACTCGTCTTTATTTTCTGAGATTTTATTGGACATTTATATCCGTTAGAATTGCACCAGTGTTTGAATTTTTCCAACTACAACAAAACTTATTATAAATCCATTAAAAGCAAAATAAAAGAAAAGAAAACATGAACAATCGAAATAATACCGTTGCGCTTACATAAATAATACAGTACTAGGATATGACCCGCGGTACACCGCGGGTTCAATATTTTTTTTAATTTTTCTTTTAATAATTCAAGTATTGGTTGTCTATATTTTAGGTTGTTGTTTGGGTTGATAGAAATTTATTTACTAACGGTTGTGATGATTTATATTGAGTTGTAAGGTTACGATATTAGTAAGTATAGTTTTTGTTTGTCTTCTATATGAGTTACGTAAAATTTATTTGTCTTTTATAGTAACAGTGTAATTTGTTAACGTTGGTACTGGGTGATCATATTCTAATTTTCATTTGAATTTATTTTATAAATTTTACATATTCTATAAAGTTACGGTTTGTAAATAGCTGTTAAAAATATATATATATAACATTGTTATGTTGTCTTTTACAAAATTACATAGAGTTTTGCTTATAGTATAGTAACAAACTTATTTATTCAAATAGTTTGCATCAGTTTATAGGTTTGAATCTACTTAGCAAATCAAAACTTGTGTCTTACGAAAAATGTTAATTAGATTAAAAGCCCAATTAACATTCTGCCCAGCCCACTCTTTAGTTGCTACCCAAGCCCAACTCCATAACTTGTTTTTGATGAAAATGTATCTGTAAAAATATAATCAGACGACACTGTAGATCATCTTCGATACCGTTCTCATCAGCTTCTTTCGTTTCCAATTTCGATAGAACAGCTGAAATTGAAAATCAGATTGTCGTTCAATTCGAAGAGTATTTGACCATAATCGGTTCTACATGTGAATAGCTGATTCATACCTCATAAGGTAATCCTCAAATTTACTCTCGGTTCTATCAATTTGTAAGTAGATTCAATTTCATGACTGTTAATTTCCAATTTCGAATTACTTAGATCGGATCAAGATTTTCTGTGTTCACTTTAGTATCGTTTTAAATAGGAACCGTATCCGAATTTCCGAATGATATATAGGATTGATCATATTAAATATGAAACAAAGTTATATCAAGTGTGTTTGTAATTCTCTGTCATTTCCAATGTCTCGCATCTATAAAGTTGCTTTAGCTAACAAATGATATGTTTTGCTTATCATATAAGCTCATTTTGATAGGATGAAGCATAGTAGATGGATAAATTCAAGCTTGGGCAAGTCACTCTACATCGAATAACAGTCACAAAAAGAAGAGAAGGTAAGAGTTCAGACTTTTTTTACTAAGAGCTTAGAAAATGAATGAATTAGATGTTGATGATTGTTGATACATAAATTGAATAGATCAAAACAAAATTAGTGTCCCAACTATAATGAAAGTATGAGTGTATACGCAAGTAAAATAAAGAGTACCAATACAATGGCAATTATGCTGCTTAATTGTTCCTTTCTTTGAAAAGATAGAACATTGAATCTGGAAAAAAAAATAGTAATTAGATTGTTAGTCAAATATCATTTCTGATTGATTGTGGGTTTTGCTAACCATAAAGCAAATTTGTACAGAAAAAAAAGGTAAACTAAACATACCTTTTTTTTTATTACCCATTAACTGCAAGTTGAATGGCTTAGGTGTTGCTTACTTTAGAAAGATTAAGCATTGAATCTGGAAAAAATGTAAGTAGATTGTAAGTCAAATATCTGCTTGATTGACTGTGGGTTTTGCTTACCATAAAGCAAATATAAAATGAAAAAGTTAAACTAAACATACCTATTTTAATAAGCTTGTGAATCAGTCAAGACTACTTCAAGGGTTTCACCAGTGTTGTTGGTATATTGGCGCTAAGAATGGGGAACCTTCACCTGCACACGCCAAGAGGTTTTGTAAGGTCTTACATCTCTCAACAGAGCAAATTGTGAGGCCATTAGTGCTGGTAATTGTAGAGTATTTTCTTTGATATTGCAAATGGGAAATGATAGATACTGTGAATATAAATGAAGAAATGAGCGGCTATTTATATAGTTTGAATTGGTATGATGTATTAGGTTTAGGTGAATAATAGAAAAAATCTTGATGAGCAAGGATTGAATATATTTTGGGATCTTAGTAATTGGAATAACAGAGAATATGCTAGGTTGATTGTTAAGAGAATAAGGATAAAATCTTCTAGGTATTAACTAATTTCCAAGTCGATAAGTTGAGACTATGATTCTTTTAGTTGATAGAAAGAATAGATTAATGGAATAATTACTCTTACGTTTTAATAGGCAAGAGTATATATCTTGCCAATTTCTGCTTAAGTATTGTTATAACTGCAAATATTTTGTGTATCTTTAAATGGGATTTATTTTAGAAACTTAATCATTTAAGCCTTGAATGTAGGTCGCAGTAACTAAGGAAAGATTTGGTGAATAAAAATCGGAGCAAACTATCAAATTAGGCAAGATCCGAATGTCAAGATTGCGGGTCAAATTGAGAATATTTCCGGGTCATAATTTTGACCCGATTGGGGACCCCAAAAACTGTTGCATAAATAATACAGTATAGGTAAGAGTTTATTTAGACAACAAATAAGGATGGCCAACTACACCCAACCAATGTCCCATTACATTATAGAACAAATTCTGATCCGCGCCCTCGTGGTCTCTATCAATCATGACCATAGATTTGGATAATTATATCATTAACATATCGAAATATCATTGATTAAGTTAGCATACAGTAGTTAAGAAAAGAAATAAAACATGTAGAAAACAAAAACAAAGCAAGATATGGTTAAGGTGTCAAAAGAGGAAAATAGGCATGTGAGCAGAGAAAAAGTTAGCTTTATTTTTCGTTATACCCACAAAAGCATGTGATGAGTGGTGTCTCCTTTTCAAACTCTTAACCTTTCATGGGCATGCGAGGATATAACCATAAAGCAATAAGTAGCAGCACTTGTCAGATACAATAATATCATAGAGAGAAAACCCTAACTTAAACCAATAAGACCTAAAACAAAAACCGATTCAACCTGATACTTATCAGTATTAGCACAAAGCAATATGAAATTGTAACTGAGCAAGTCACAGGACAAGTAACAATCAAAGCAAAGAAGAGAAATAATGGAAGAACAAAAGGGAGATAATGATGCAACCTTTGCTTTACCTTTCTTTCGAAGACATTAAACCCCACAAAGAGGTAGACAACAGGAGTTGGTATCCACCTAGAGAATAGTGATGCAACATCAATGAGATAGGTCCCATGTAATGCTATTACAGTAAACAGTAAAATCTGATTGTTAAATGAATCTGGTGCACCTGCAGTATCTTTAAGAACCGACCAACTCATCTCCTCTATCAGGAGAAGGAGTTGTGTTACACTTGCTTGCTGGACATATCATTCCGGTTTAACTCACAGGACAGAAGCAGCAAGTTGTTGGATTCACTAATAAAGAATCTAAGGATCAAGAACTCACAAGAGCATAACGCCACAGACTCTGAAAAGTAACTTGACCATGATAAACCTATTTAATGTTCCAATGTTTCAATACAGAGAAATTTCTTGAAGATTGTGAGAACATACAAGAGCATCATAATCCTTTTGAAATGTAATCTAAATGGAAGAAGCTAGATATTATTAGCAAGCATAGTTCCCATTTGTGGCGAAAACAGCAACAGGGAGAGAGTTGAGTGACAAGGGGGAAGAGCAGAAGAGATCATCTTACATCTCTCAGTTCTTGGCCTTGATGGAGTTGTTCTCCTTGATTTTAGCTCGTGTGTCGAGCTTGACAAAACGTTTGAGATCATCGTAGGGAAGAGTCTCGACGTTCTTCCTCCTAAGCTCACTAAGCGCTGGTCGCTTATCGAGAAGACGCCAGAGCCAATCAGGGTAATCAGAGTCAGGCAAGATCTTGGGATCGGATCCATCTTTGAGAGTATTGGCACCAACAACGGTGGTGGATTTGATCTCTTTGGTCAAGGAGGAACCTTTAGGAGCATCGCTAGCTCCTCCTCCTTTGCCACCTTTCTTGGCTTTACTAGCTGCTGCAGCGAACGTTCTCCGGGCAACATCCTTGGATGATCCCCTTATCAATCCAATACGGTTCATCTCCTCCTACAGAATTTAGATACCAGAGCCATTTGTTAATCACAACTTTCCAGAAGAAATTAGGGTTTGATGCCCGGCTAATTGTAATTCTAATTCAACCACATCCAGAAAACATATGTAAAAAAGAGCGAGGATAATTAGGTTTGTGAATCGACGACACAGAAGCATTTGGGAGAGAAAACTTACGTCCAAGAGCGAGCGAGCTCACAACTGAAGAAGAAGCAGCTTGCTTACTGGCGAGCGGCGGAGCGGAGAAGACCGACCAACAACACTTTTGTTTCTCGCTTACAAGTTTTAAACCGGCCCAAATCTTTTTTGGGTTGGGCCTGAATTTAGATAAAAGGGCATGAGATTACTTTTTCGTGCTTGTTATGGATAAAAAAGTCAACCATGGAAAATGAGTGGACTTTGCGAACACGTTGCCGTGTTTGATGGCGAACGAAACCCATGAATGTTTCTGTAACAGCTCAGCTCATCAATTTCAATATATATATATATAAGAGATATACCGTAGATCTTTTATTCTATTATCAATTAATTTTGAGTTGGAATCTCATATATATTTTCAAAAATAGTATTAAAACGATCGAGTTCATGCATGCATGTTTACAAGTTTTATCAGTACATTGCAAATTTATCTGATTCTTTTATACTCATAGGTTAGTTTGAGATCATCACTATACACGAGTAGAAGTAGAACTTGAAAACAGAATAAGGAAAGAAATTCAACCAAAGTAAAGCAAATAGAATTAAATACGTCTTATATATATATATTAGAAGCTGAAAGCCATGACACTAATCAATGTTGTGGTGATAAACAGCGGGCAAGTGGGGAAAGTGGCGGCGTTTGGAGGTGGTGGAAGCGTCTTGGGTTCACCAAAGTGACCAGTTGGTGATGGTGAAGGAGCCATTGGAGGAGGAGGAGGAGCAGTGCGTTTCTCGTCGTTCCCACCATAGGACGACTCGGCCACCATAATCAACATTGCCAAGACGAGAATACATATCATTAAGCTGAAAGATCTCATTGCTGCAATATTTGATCTCCTCTCTTTCTCCTAATTTGTCATTCTCTTTTTTAGTTAGTTGATACAGTCCGATCATCGCAAAGGGAATAGAACTTATGTATATAAAGGTCAACGAGGGAGAATAAGTCTAATTCATCTGGGGGCATGGATATGTGATTATCGTCTTAATTAGCTTGTTACGTTAGTGGCTAACCATCTATTTTAAGTAACATAACGTGATCTCCTACATTTTTTTTTTTGCACATTACTAATAAAACATATATATCCAACAGATAAAGTGATAATCACTTATAAGTTCCAATCCGGGATCAAGTGATAATTGATCTTAAACCAACAAAAAAAAGAAAGACATAATCAAATAGTCATTTGTATATACCAAATATAAATGCATATATATTGTATAATGGATAGAAACCCCATTTGCCTGGTCTATAGACTAGAGTACTTATTAAATCATGTTTTCTTTCTTTTTGTGTGCAAAATAAGAGTAATCATGTTTAGACCATCTCCAACAAAAATTCTAACAATTAAAATATATTGATTTTATTGGTGGAGTTCAGTTAATTACTAGTATAAATTTAATTAAATAAGAAAATTATAATTTTTTTATTGATCAGAGACCCATTTTTAAGATATCACCGTTGAGGATGCCCATTGAGATCTTGTAAACTGGTTTATTTGGCAAATAAAAACTTTAAAAAAGTAATTGTGAGGAGGAGAATAATTAAATTAAAACGCTGGCAAGCCGCCGAGTTTTGGACGTGTGTATGTAAAATGGTTGCCGGAGTCCATGGCAGCCGAAATTGGGCGATTCAAAGAGAGAATCTTCTTTGATTTTTTATTCAAATTCCAACGATCTCAAATTTTTGTTATTTTTTAAAATTATAATTGATTAGTCACATGTGGCAGTTCTTCGTGGTCGCCACTACCTAATCATAACCATTTGGGTTTATAGAAGAACAAGGTCGCGCATCGCCATGGATCAATCATCCTCCATGCATTGACTTTTTTTTATTTTTACTTTAGTTAGGGTTTGAAATTCGATAAATCGAGATGCGGTGGGATTTGATCGCGGCGATTGTGGCCGCGCTGGTGGTGTCGGGTTTGGCTGATGAATCGGGTCAAAGGGCACCGTATCGGATCCACACGCTGTTCTCGGTGGAGTGCCAGAACTACTTCGATTGGCAGACGGTTGGTTTGATGCACAGCTTCTTGAAATCCGGACAACCCGGTCCGATTACCCGGTTATTGAGCTGTACCGATGATCAGAAGAAGAATTACAGAGGCATGAATCTCGCTCCCACTTTCGAAGTTCCCTCTTGGAGCAGACATCCTAAGACCGGTGACTGGTAAACCCCGACACCATTACTTACTCTACTCTCTTGTCTTTTTTTTTGGCTCGGAAACTTGTTGTTGTGGAACATTAGGGCCAGACAGAACCACGTTGTTTTGTGTCTTTGCATCTGTTTTGCTTGCTCACTTTTGAGTTGGATCAATTAGGGCCAATTTTGGTTTAATCCCGTAGTGCTCGTCGCTAGTTTTGGAATCTTGGTGACGGATTTCTGGTCTTGAATTTAAAACTAGGGGTTTAGATGAATCTTTGATGTATATATTGAATTAACTCTAGGTACCCAGCAATTAACAAACCAGTTGGAGTTCTTTACTGGCTTCAACACAGTGAAGACGCCAAGCATGTGGATTGGGTCGTTATTCTTGATGCTGACATGATCATTCGAGGTCCTATCATCCCTTGGCAACTCGGTGCTGAAAGGGGAAGACCCTTTGCCGCGCATTATGGGTATTCCTACCTATTCTTCAGTCAAACCTAAATCTTACTCGTTTCTTTCATTGTTGCTCACACCTTATTTCTATATCATTTAGCTACTTGGTGGGCTGCGATAACATCCTTGTGCGCTTGCACACAAAGCATCCTGAACTCTGTGACAAAGTTGGCGGTCTTCTCGCTATGCATATCGACGATCTTCGGGTCCTGGCCCCTCTCTGGCTCTCAAAGACCGAAGATGTTCGCCAAGATACAGCTCACTGGTCCACCAATATCACCGGAGATGTTTACGGCAAAGGTTGGATCAGCGAGATGTATGGTTACTCCTTTGGTGCTGCAGAGGTAAAGTCACCGCCTTCCTTAATTCTCTTGCTCATGCTCTAACAATTGCAGTCTTCAGTTCGTCTGATTTCGATTATAAAACTTTGTGATCCACAGGCAGGACTTAAGCACAAGATTAACGACGACTTGATGATATATCCTGGGTATGTTCCACGAGAAGGTGTCGAGCCTATTCTTATGCATTACGGTTTACCTTTTTCCATTGGGAACTGGTCATTCACTAAACTGGACCACCACGAAGACAATATAGTCTACGACTGCAATCGTCTCTTCCCCGAGCCTCCATATCCAAGAGAGGTTAGCATAACAAGTTCTCAACTCCATTTCATGTATCTCTAATGGGGGCAATTACTGACAAAACAATTTTCGTTGAATAGGTGAAAATAATGGAACCTGATCCGTATAAACGAAGAGGTCTGATTTTGAGTCTAGAATGTATGAATACATTGAACGAGGGACTCATACTGCGTCACGCAGAAAATGGGTGTCCGAAACCAAAGTGGACCAAATACTTGAGCTTTCTGAAGAGCAAAACTTTCATGGAGTTAACAAAGCCTAAACTGCTTGTACCAGGAAGTGTACATATCCTGCCAGACCAACACGAGCCGCCACCCATTAATGAATTCAAAGGAACTTATCCAAAGATTCACACACTGTTTTCTACTGAGTGCACGACTTATTTCGATTGGCAAACAGTCGGCTTCATGCACAGTTTCCGCCAGAGCGGCCAACCTGGAAATATCACTCGGCTTCTCAGTTGCACAGATGAAGCTCTTAAAAACTATAAAGGTCATGACTTGGCCCCGACGCATTATGTTCCTTCGATGAGCAGACATCCTCTAACAGGCGATTGGTAAGATTAGCAGTTATACCTCAGGTTTTGAAGTTATAACTTGATCTTCGTCTGATTTTGGTATGTTCTTAACTGAATCAGGTACCCGGCAATTAACAAACCAGCAGCGGTTGTCCATTGGCTTCACCACACTAACATTGATGCAGAGTACGTAGTTATTCTTGATGCTGACATGATCCTCCGAGGACCCATCACACCTTGGGAGTTTCAGGCAGCTCGAGGCCGACCAGTTTCGACTCCTTACGAGTAAAAATCTAGAGAACACAACAAATTTCCTTTTCTCTCTTTTCCAGTTTATAGATGATTGCAGAAATCCCTTTTAACCGTCTTCTCCTTCTTTTGTTTAGCTATCTTATTGGATGTGATAACGACCTTGCAAGACTTCACACGCGTAATCCCGAAGCTTGTGATAAAGTTGGTGGAGTCATTATAATGCACATAGAGGATCTCCGGAAATTCGCAATGTACTGGTTGCTTAAAACTCAGGAGGTTCGAGCAGAGAAAGAACACTATGGGAAGGAGTTAACTGGGGATATATATGAATCCGGTTGGATCAGCGAAATGTACGGTTATTCATTTGGTGCTGCAGAGGTAAAACTTATCACAATTCTTAACTTTTTGCTCAATAATTGGTTTCGACTTTCGACTAGGGTCTAAAATACAACATTTGTGCAGCTAAATTTGCGGCATATCATAAACAAAGAAATTTTGATTTATCCCGGGTATGTTCCTGAACCTGGTGCTGACTACCGAGTTTTCCACTACGGTCTTGAGTTCAAAGTGGGAAATTGGAGCTTTGACAAGGCGAATTGGAGGAACACTGATTTGATCAACAAATGCTGGGCAAAGTTTCCAGACCCCCCTAGTCCTTCGGCAGTGCATCAAACAGACAATGATCTACGGCAAAGAGACCTTCTGAGCATTGAATGTGGACAGAAGCTGAACGAAGCTCTGTTTCTGCATCACAAGAGAAGGAATTGCCCTGAACCTGGATCTGAATCGACTGAGAAGATGTCGGTTTCGAGAAAAGTTGGTAACATTGAAACGAAACAAACACAAGGAAGCGATGATACAAAAGAGTCAAGTGGTGCTGAAGGGAGATTCAGCACGTTGAAATTATGGGTGATTGCGCTGTGGTTGATATCTGGTGTAGGGTTCTTGGTGGTGATGCTTTTGGTGTTCTCGACTCGTAGAGGCAGAGGAACAACAAGAGGGAAAGGTTACAGAAACAAGAGACGAACTTCGTACTCGAACACAGGTTTCATGGACACAAAATGATCGAGAGATAGATATGTGCGAAACACAGAAACCTGGGCTCCTTGAATCAAGCGTGGAGGGTATCTGTTAGAATGAGAGCAATGTGTAGATACAACTAAACCAAACCAAGAAAAGGTGAGACATTTTGCTTCCCCCAAAGTCATATAGGTTTCTTTGTATTCTTTTTAAGGGTTTGTTTTTTATTTGTTAAAGAGTTATAAATTCGTATTGTAATTGTCAAAAACACACAAAGGAACCAAAATCTCTCTGTTACACACAATAGACGGTTTTTGAAGTTCCTTCTTTGCGCCAACTTAGAATTGCTTTTGGCTCCTTTGGTTTCTGACATGACTGGTTTTTCACTACAGGTAATCCAACTAAAAAAAAAAAAACACTTTAGAAAAGGTGGTTTGTTTATCACTAGAAAAATTCCATACACAGTATTTATTTATATATTGGCGGACCACTTTCTCTCTCATGTGGTGTGAGAGGATACTACTACTTTAGTAATATAGTAAAACAAAAATCTCTCATAAAGCAACGGAAAGGAAGAAACAGACAGAGAAACCTGCATTTTCTTTTTTTGAATTCAAATTTTAAACAGTAAAAAGCTTTTTCTATACAACGGATACATCTTACTTCTACTTTCTTTCTTTTTTGTCTTTCATTTATAAACTAGAAAAAATACATTAGTTTTGTGATCTTTGGAATAGAATTCACTTGTCTGTAAAAATAGATCTTGTTCCCAAAAGAATGGGAGAATCTGCTTGTCTCATGCAGCCTTTCTCATATGCAGCTCCACAGGTTTGTTCGTTAGTTAGCTCATGCTTTCTCTTCCATTTCAAGTACATATGTCCTTTAAAAAAAAATTCATATGTTTTCTTAGGAATTAAGCTCTCTCTGTTGTTTCCCGTGTCTGTCTTTAGGGAGATTCTCTTGGTGCTTTAGGACAGTCTGTGTCCTTCGGGAGATTCATGTCGGAGAAACTTGACTGGGAAAAATGGTCTGCTTTCTCCACACACAACCCTTATGTGGCCGAGGCAGAGAGATACTCAAAGCCCGGATCTGTCGCTCAGAAGAAAGCTTTCTTTGAAGCTCACTACAAGAAACTCGCTGCTGCTAGAAAAGCTGCTGCTGAAGAGGCCCTCTTGCTTCAGCAGCAAATCCCTAAACCCCAACCAGTCCAAGAAGAAGATATCAATGGAGGAGGCAATAAAGATTGGCTGGTCTCGAAACCGGATCTTGAGACTTCAGGAAGATCTTTAGATGATTCTGCTGAAATGAAATTCCTAGCAGGAGAAGAAGGCGTATTTAGAGGTAATAGACAATCTGATGAGAAAGAGAACTGTGGGTTGGCTGAGTCAGAGATCAATGCCAAAGTTTCTTCTACAGGTGGAGAACATGTGGATGAGGAGAAGCCTATTCTAATGGTAATTTATTAGTGATCATTAAGAGTTTTCTTTCTCTCTGGCTTCTTTTATTGTTCTTGATCTGTAACAGTCTTCGCAGAAGAAATCCAAAAACTCACAACAATCAAAGAGCAGTACCAAATCAAGAGTCTATAAGTACAATTCATCGGAGAGGACTCCAAGTCAAAAGTCTAGCAACAAGAGCAGCTCTTACACTTTCACACCTGCAAAAGAGTTCAATAGATTGGTGTCCATCATAAGGAAGATTGATGGGTCAAGAGCTTCTTCTAAACCAACCAAAGACTGCAAAACTCCTCTCCGGACACCATCATCAAACAAGGTGCCTGCATTCTTTAACAAGTGTTTCACTCAACCAAGTGCTTATACTCTTGTGATTGCAGGTGTCTGCAAAGGGAATTGCTGATGACTCTTTGTCCTCACCTTTATCTAGTAACAGAAGGTAAACAATGCTCAATAAAATCTTAGAAAGCTTCTTCTTACTTCCTTCATTCATGCGTGGTTAGAGAAGTAATCAGGTGTTACAGTAAGTGCAGAGGGAAGATAGCTCCTGATTCTTCTGCCAAGACAGGTCGAGGAAGATGGAATTTCCTCCCTGCAGAGTAAGAACTGTTCTTAATAAGAGTTTACTCAATTCAAATGTATAATATGTGCCCTTTTAACCAAGTTATTGAAGCAGGACACCGAGCTGTTTTACACCGTTTGGCTTAAGAACAGAGGAGAGGGCAGAGAGAAGAAAAAAGGCAAGAAGAGATTGAACAGATAGAGTAAAATGATGCTTTTTGTCTTGTCACTTAACACCATTTTACTGGTTCTTGATGTTTCAGAAGCTAGAGGAGAAATTCAAAGCAATGGAGCCACAGAACCAGAAGGCAGAGGAAAGGAGTGTGGAGAAGGAAGAGAGTAAACTACGGCAAAGGCTATGCTTCAAAGCGAAGCCACTTCCAAATTTCTACAAACAGAGACCAAAATCAACAGACCAAACTAAGAAAGTAAGCTCACTTTCACTAATCGTCAAATGTATGTGAAGTACATTAAAAAAAGAAATATAGTAGCCATAGTTTCTCTGTGTCTGAGAGTTCTCTGTGTTGTCTTTGTAGGCTCTGTTACAGTAGCAGAGAGGTGTTAAAGAAACTCCCTATCATCCATCATCTTTCAGAGAGATATTGCGCGGACTTAGCGCCTGTGGCTGTGGGGAGAACTATCAAAACCGGTTTGCCTCAAAAAAAGGATTAGTTTGGAATTGTTGACATATTTGGTTTTATTCCAAGAAGAAGTATTGAATTTTACTAGATTGCATTGTATGAATGAATTATTTGTAAACTTGTTATATATGCTTTGAAAAAGGTGAGAGAATTGGAGGCAATATTGTAGAAAGGAGAAAAAAAAAAGGGGGCATTCCGAGAATTGAACTCGGGACCTCTCGCACCCTAAGCGAGAATCATACCACTAGACCAAATGCCCTCTTTCGGAAATTTTGTTTTTCATTTAATCTCTAACCGAAAACAAACGTTAAATCACAACCAAAAATTACGACATTGGTACAAGAGTACGTAATAATAATAACTCCATTCAATCTCTTGGTTTTATATAAATCTTATATAGTAATTAGTTAGTTAAAGAGATCGTCTCATAATGTTAACACAGATAATATGATTCCGTCCCAAGTTCAATAAAAAAAACTTAGAGAGAGAAGATGAAGAATCCGGCGGCGGCGACAGTGCCGGCGATGGAGAGCTTCACATTAGTCGTGGCGCCACTTTTGGGTGACTCGGCGGCGGTGGGTCCATCAGATGAGGGTCCATCGGTTGAGGGACCATCGGCTTCGGGGGTAGGAGCCGGTGGGGAGGAGACGGTGGGTGCCTCGGCGGAGTCACTGGGGGTGGCTGCCGAATAGTCGTCTTCGGAGGTGGGTTCCTCTGCAACAGGGGATGATGCTTTCGGTGCGGCGGCGGAGGATTTGGGTGCAGCTGCAGGAGCCTTGGTGGTGGGGGCTTTGGTCGGAGAGGCGGTGGGTGCAGCTGAAGGTGCATCGGCGGCGAATGCGGTGGCCACGGCCAAAGCCAAGAGGGCAAATACGACAAATTGACGTGCCATTTTTTTTTTTTTTAATTTTAAAAATATAATTATAGAGATTAAAAAGAGGAGGTGTTGTTGTTCCAAAGCTAAAGCAGTATAATTTATTTTGTTCTGAATACTGCAGAAGCTTCAGATGAAGGAAACCAAGAGGACAATGAGTTGGATTTATATGTTTCGAATATTGAGAAATTTTAGGAGAATCGATGGATTTGAGAAGAAAATGGACATCCATTAGCCTTATTTTAGAAGTGTCACGTTTGTATATTAGTTTTCTTTTTTTGTAGCAAGAAAATTGATCCTAAAATTGGATTTCTTTTAAGTATGATAAACCAGAGAAGCCTTAATGAAACCCAGGTAAGGTTCATCGTCCCGGTCGGAGTAGCTAAAAAGTCATTGATTTAAAAGGAGATGGAGATAGATCACAAGTTGCATAAAGATTACAAATCAATAATAAATATCACGGCATGTGTTTGTTCGGTAAAGAACAGTTATGTACTGTATTATATATATAGATATGTGTGTCTGTGGATTTTACTCGGAGCGAACTCTATCCACACTCTTCCTCCCCCTCTCAATCTGGTCAACGCTCTTCCGAGTCTTTTCATGGCAGTCAACACTCCTCCGCGAGCGATCAAGATGATCAAAAGAGATCTTGAGCTTGCTGCTACTCTTCTTCGACTGACTCTTTGGTGGCTTCTCTCTCTCTCTCTCTCTACGCTCTGTGCTCTGCCTCGGCTTCACTCTCCTGTCCATACTTTTCCTCTCTGATTGGTCGCTGCTCACCCTCCGACAAGGTAATCTCTCTACTGTTGCGATGAATTTCTTAAGGTGTCTCATGTATTCAGGGTAGTGTTCAAGATCACAGTGGTTCCCTCCTTTCACCCAGAGAGGCTCGTACTTGTCTTTGCAGAGTTCCCATAGTTGTTTCCCATGAGAACAATCCACTACTTCATCCCAAGTTCCCTGCACATATTTGGATCCAAAAAGCTCATCACAAGTTAAAACGAAATTAAATCTATCTATCTGAAACCTGACTTACATGAATGATGAGAACCGGGCAATCGACATACGGGATTTTGTCGATATTCTGCGGACACAACAATCTTATTACATTACAAATTGGAGAGTGTACGTACACAGAAAGGAGGATTCATACATTGGTCTACCTTGTAGATGTCGAACCAGTAGGTTTTCTTGACGGCATACATAACTCTTAAACCGGAGAGAATGGGGCTGTGAAGGACGACGGCTCTAAGTTGAGGCAACCGGGAAGCAAGATCTAACGTAGGTCCGCTGCCTACAGATTGGCCGTAGAGAATGACATCTTCCTGCTTAGAGCCAAAGGTTTCTTCAAGACACTTATAAACAGCTTCGATATCAGCATACGTGTTATGCTCACTCGGCTACAATTTATCAATTAAGAGAAAGAAAGAATTTTGAGTTAGTCCTAAACCTCAAAATGGATCATCACATCAATCAGATTGATGGGCAAAGGACAAACCTTTCCAGTAGATTGTCCATAACCGGAGTAATCGTATCTGCAAATTGAATCAAAGACTGATTGATTCCAAGCAGATCTTAGCCCAAGTTTCCTTTTTGATTCATTTTTTTTTTTATATATATATATAAACATTATAAACAGAGCAAATCCTATCTATAACTAACTACTCATCAAATTATTAATCAATAGAAAGATAACATTTTTAAATGAGCGTTTTGAAGGGAGAGAAAGAAAGATACCCCATAAGATTAACCTTGAGATGGATGCTAAGCTCGATGAAGAGCTCATACATCTGTCCCAGATCGGCGGCGTTGCCATGGGAGTAGAGGAGCGTGGAGGTAGCCATGGGATGCCTCACGTACATGCCCACGATCTCTGTGCCTCTCCTGGTCCGAAGCTTTACGATTTCTACGTTTTCGCGGTGGGGGAAAGGGCTGAGAAGCAACAGTCCCGTGAGCTCGTCGGTCACCACCTTGTAAGACGGCGGACTCGGCGGGAAGAAGGCGAACTTCGCCGCCACCGATGACGTCACCCCTCCCATCTCCTTCTCCGTTGCTCTCTACACAGCTTGCATTTGGTTTGGTTTACTGATGAGAGAGCTGCTAAGTTTTGAGATTGAAGCTTTTCTCCTTGGGAACAGAGAGAGAGAGAGAGTATTAAGACAAAAGTGGCTTCTTTTTTTTTTTCTCTTTAATCTCATTCATACTCATACTAGTTTACTACATTAATCTTTATTGATTTAGCTCTTAAAAGTACTTATGTCAATGTAGATTATGTAGGGGTTAGGTATGGATAACGTATCTATGAGATTTAACGTAAATATCTTTATTATGCATAGAAAAATCACCTAAAAAGCAGTAATAAAATGTAGGAAATTTGATCTCAAATCATAATCTACTTTTACATATTTTGACCCCGAGGTATTTGGAAATTGGGATACCTTGGATATTCAAATGTTCTATTCCATGCATTTTCAGCTGGATACTTCGAACTAATTAAGTTGATGGGACATATAAGGGATCTGTGCTTGATTATCGATTACTAAATATTTATTTCCACACGGCTAATCGAATAAATATACAACTTGCTCATTTGAATACTCTATGCACCTAATTTTCATAGCTGATATCAGAAACTGAACGAATATTATACATGAGTCACCCCTAATTTATGTATCAACGTCAACCAGAAGTGGACAGACCATTAAAATTAGCCAATAAAAAGGGTTTAGATAGATTTATTAATTCAAAGAGTACAATAGACTTACAAACAAAGTGTTTTCCTAAAACAGAACAAGGTGGACAATGGCATGTGGGATGATATGGTTGCTATTTAGATAGAAGAACCATGCGTAGGTTACGATTTGCCATATCTATCGACATTTACTTAACCTTTTGCCTTGTTTTAGACTAATCCATCAAATTACTTTGTGATCAATACTAAAAAACAAGAAGAAGGAGATTATGGATTTTGTTCTAATAGTAAAATCTAGCCCAAACGATAAGAGTAGTAACAATTCATTTTTTATTAGGAATTAAGAAAAATTATATGAAGATGGACCACACACGAAGATATGGATCATAACAAGGAAAATAAAACATTATATTGACGACATGAGGGACACATTGAATTGCTATAATTCACTGGACAAGAAAATGAGATATCAACAACTAACACAAAAAACATTTATAAGAAGATAAGCCAATAAATATTGACAAATGATCAATTAGAAAATGATAAGAATATATAAGTAACAGTAAGTAATAATAATTAATAGTAAACCATTAGAAACTGGAAAGCATAAAAAGGACTATGTTGGTGTCCTTCATGGGGGTCCATTAACTAAAGTGGGATTTAATTAGAAACATTATAAGAAGAAGGAAAGCAAATAGTTATATTTGAATTATGTTGTATTTATCTGAGTTAATTTTACTAACAAAACAATTTTAACATTTATATATTTAAGAGAATAAGATATTGTTTATTATTGAAAATTATTAGGAATACTTCAATCGAACATGTCCCACAAAGGCCAAACCACACACATGGACTGACCAATTCTCATACGAAGGCATTGAAATTCAGAAATTATTATGGAAAAGTGATTAAAAAAAGAAGAAGAGACGTGTGCTTATTGCATCATTTAGAAGTTGTAGTTCTCGTCTTCGTGGAGCTTTTCATCGTGACAACAACTAAAGCTCATGTACTTCTCCATGGGACGCTGACACTCGAAGCACATCATCTTCTCCGGAATCTGACCGCTCCGAGCAGTGATGTGGAAATCAAAGTGGCCGCAAGGTTTTCCGGTTTCACGGAGGACCTCATCGTGGTGGTGGTCGTACATTGCTTTGGTGTAGCCTTTGGTCGGGACGTGGGTTTTCCAGGTCCGATCGTAAGCACTCATAGTCCTCTCTACCGCACCGTGAGCGATCATCACTATCTCTGGTCCTTTGCTCAGTAGTGCCCATCCTCCAACCTTGTCGTAGCTTAGTATCTTCTTGATTCCTTGCATCACCTAATCAACGTTTTCAAGACACAGAATAATTCATTTATTGAACCGAACCGAAAAACTGAAAACCCTAGCTAGATATATAGTCTACTCTTACATCGTCCTGATCATCGGCTTTACCGAGTTGAATCTTAGAGTACAACATGCTCTCGAGCCTAGTCCAGAAGAACCACATCAAGGCAGGCTCGGCCCAGCTATGGCTCAGGTTTTCAGACCTGATTGCTTCACTGATACGCCTGATCTGTTCCCTGTGGCTATGGTTTCGTTTTCCGACGTA